TGTGCCTGTTCCACAGCTCGAGACAAGGCAGATTGTATTTTCGCTTGTAGGCTCTGTAGAAGAAACATACATTTGAAGTGTCTCCTTACAGCAGCAGAATTGGAGAAAAATATAGACGTAAACGAGAAACTGCGTAATAAAATATGTGACCTCTGCAGAGCCAACTAATTAAATGCTTCACTTAGATATAATAAGTTTCCATTAATATATACATTTGCCTGCCCTTTCTTTAGTAGATACCATATAGCGTGATCTGGTCCACTAATTTCAGAAATTTTGGGCTATGTCGCATTCTAGGGAATTATTTCCTTGGAGGTGAACATGAATTCTAACATATTTTTCTTATCTGCTATCTCTCCTTGTCGTCTAGCTTATAAATAGTCTCTATAATAGAGTATTTTTTTGAGGTACAACTGATTTTGGGGAATCATTTCCTTGGGGGTGAAAATGAATTTTTTAGCATATTTTTTTATCTGCCAGCGTTTCAGAAGCTTTCTCACACCATGCCACCTAGCCTATAAATTGTCTCTATAATAGAGTATTTCTTTGAGGTACAACTGATTTTGGGGATTCATTTCCTTGGGGGTGCAAATTAATTTTTTAGCATATTTTTTTATCTGCCAGCCTTTCAGAAGCTTTCTCACACCATGTCATCCAGCCTATGAGTAGTCTCTGTAATAGAGTATTTTTTTGAGGTACAACTGATTTTGGGGAATCATTTCCTTGGGGGTGAAAATGAATTTTTTTGCATATTTTTTTATCTGCCAGCCTTTCAGAAGCTTTCTCACACCATGTCACCTAGCCTATAAATTGTCTCTATAATAGAGTATTTCTTTGAGGTACAACTGATTTTGGGGATTCATTTCCTTGGGGGTGAAAATGAATTTTTTAGCATATTTTTTTATCTGCCAGCGTTTCAGAAGCTTTCTCACACCATGCCACCTAGCCTATAAATTGTCTCTATAATAGGGTATTTTTTTGAGGTACAACCGATTTTGGGGAATCATTTCCTTGGCGGTGAAAATGAATTTTTTAGCATATTTTTTTATCTGCCAGCCTTTCAGAAGCTTTCTCACACCATGCCACCTAGCCTATAAATTGTCTCTATAATAGAGTATTTCTTTGAGGTACAACTGATTTTGGGGATTCATTTCCTTGGGGGTGAAAATGAATTTTTTAGCATATTTTTTTATCTGCCAGCCTTTCAGAAGCTTTCTCACACCATGTCACCTAGCCTATAAATTGTCTCTATAATAGAGTATTTCTTTGAGGTACAACTGATTTTGGGGATTCATTTCCTTGGGGGTGAAAATGAATTTTTTAGCATATTTTTTTATCTGCCAGCGTTTCAGAAGCTTTCTCACACCATGCCACCTAGCCTATAAATTGTCTCTATAATAGAGTATTTCTTTGAGGTACAACTGATTTTGGGGATTCATTTCCTTGGGGGTGAAAATTTATTTTTTTAGCATATTTTTTTATCTGCCAGCCTTTCAGAAGCTTTCTCACACCATGTCATCCAGCCTATAAGTAGTCTCTGTAATAGAGTATTTTTTTGAGGTACAACTGATTTTGGGGAATCATTTCCTTGGGGGTGAAAATGAATTTTTTAGCATATTTTTTTATCTGCCAGCCTTTCAGAAGCTTTCTCACACCATGTCACCTAGCCTATAAATTGTCTCTATAATAGAGTATTTCTTTGAGGTACAACTGATTTTGGGGATTCATTTCCTTGGGGGTGAAAATGAATTTTTTAGCATATTTTTTTATCTGCCAGCGTTTCAGAAGCTTTCTCACACCATGCCACCTAGCCTATAAATTGTCTCTATAATAGAGTATTTCTTTGAGGTACAACTGATTTTGGGGATTCATTTCCTTGGGGGTGAAAATTAATTTTTTAGCATATTTTTTTATCTGCCAGCCTTTCAGAAGCTTTCTCACACCATGTCATCCAGCCTATAAGTAGTCTCTGTAATAGAGTATTTTTTTGAGGTACAACTGATTTTGGGGAATCATTTCCTTGGGGGTGAAAATGAATTTTTTAGCATATTTTTTTATCTGCCAGCCTTTCAGAAGCTTTCTCACACCATGTCACCTAGCCTATAAATTGTCTCTATAATAGAGTATTTCTTTGAGGTACAACTGATTTTGGGGATTCATTTCCTTGGGGGTGAAAATGAATTTTTTAGCATATTTTTTTATCTGCCAGCGTTTCAGAAGCTTTCTCACACCATGCCACCTAGCCTATAAATTGTCTCTATAATAGAGTATTTCTTTGAGGTACAACTGATTTTGGGGATTCATTTCCTTGGGGGTGAAAATGAATTTTTTAGCATATTTTTTTATCTGCCAGCGTTTCAGAAGCTTTCTCACACCATGCCACCTAGCCTATAAATTGTCTCTATAATAGAGTATTTCTTTGAGGTACAACTGATTTTGGGGATTCATTTCCTTGGGGGTGAAAATTAATTTTTTAGCATATTTTTTTATCTGCCAGCCTTTCAGAAGCTTTCTCACACCATGTCATCCAGCCTATAAGTAGTCTCTGTAATAGAGTATTTTTTTGAGGTACAACTGATTTTGGGGAATCATTTCCTTGGGGGTGAAAATGAATTTTTTTGCATATTTTTTTATCTGCCAGCCTTTCAGAAGCTTTCTCACACCATGTCACCTAGCCTATAAATTGTCTCTATAATAGGGTATTCTTTTGAGGTACAACTGATTTTGGGGAATCATTTCCTTGGGGGTGAAAATGAATTTTTTAGCATATTTTTTTATCTGCCAGCCTTTCAGAAGCTTTCTCACACCATGTCACCTAGCCTATAAATTGTCTCTATAATAGAGTATTTCTTTGAGGTACAACTGATTTTGGGGTTTCATTTCCTTGGGGGTGAAAATGAATTTTTTAGCATATTTTTTTATCTGCCAGCGTTTCAGAAGCTTTCTCACACCATGCCACCTAGCCTATAAATTGTCTCTATAATAGAGTATTTCTTTGAGGTACAACTGATTTTGGGGATTCATTTCCTTGGGGGTGAAAATGAATTTTTTAGCATATTTTTTTATCTGCCAGCGTTTCAGAAGCTTTCTCACACCATGCCACCTAGCCTATAAATTGTCTCTATAATAGAGTATTTCTTTGAGGTACAACTGATTTTGGGGATTCATTTCCTTGGGGGTGAAAATTAATTTTTTAGCATATTTTTTTATCTGCCAGCCTTTCAGAAGCTTTCTCACACCATGTCATCCAGCCTATAAGTAGTCTCTGTAATAGAGTATTTTTTTGAGGTACAACTGATTTTGGGGAATCATTTCCTTGGGGGTGAAAATGAATATTTTTGCATATTTTTTTATCTGCCAGCCTTTCAGAAGCTTTCTCACACCATGTCACCTAGCCTATAAATTGTCTCTATAATAGGGTATTCTTTTGAGGTACAACTGATGTTGGGGAATCATTGCCTTGGGGGTGAAAATGAATTTTTTAGCATATTTTTTTATCTGCCAGCCTTTCAGAAGCTTTCTCACACCATGTCACCTAGCCTATAAATTGTCTCTATAATAGAGTATTTCTTTGAGGTACAACTGATTTTGGGGATTCATTTCCTTGGGGGTGAAAATGAATTTTTTAGCATATTTTTTTATCTGCCAGCGTTTCAGAAGCTTTCTCACACCATGCCACCTAGCCTATAAATTGTCTCTATAATAGAGTATTTCTTTGAGGTACAACTGATTTTGGGGATTCATTTCCTTGTGGGTGAAAATTAATTTTTTAGCATATTTTTTTATCTGCCAGCCTTTCAGAAGCTTTCTCACACCATGTCATCCAGCCTATGAGTAGTCTCTGTAATAGAGTATTTTTTTGAGGTACAACTGATTTTGGGGAATCATTTCCTTGGGGGTGAAAATGAATTTTTTTGCATATTTTTTTATCTGCCAGCCTTTCAGAAGCTTTCTCACACCATGTCACCTAGCCTATAAATTGTCTCTATAATAGAGTATTTCTTTGAGGTACAACTGATTTTGGGGATTCATTTCCTTGGGGGTGAAAATGAATTTTTTAGCATATTTTTTTATCTGCCAGCGTTTCAGAAGCTTTCTCACACCATGCCACCTAGCCTATAAATTGTCTCTATAATAGGGTATTTTTTTGAGGTACAACTGATTTTGGGGAATCATTTCCTTGGCGGTGAAAATGAATTTTTTAGCATATTTTTTTATCTGCCAGCCTTTCAGAAGCTTTCTCACACCATGCCACCTAGCCTATAAATTGTCTCTATAATAGAGTATTTCTTTGAGGTACAACTGATTTTGGGGAATCATTTCCTTGGGGGTGAAAATGAATTTTTTAGCATATTTTTTTATCTGCAAGCGTTTCAGAAGCTTTCTCACACCATGCCACCTAGCCTATAAATTGTCTCTATAATAGACTATTTCTTTGAGGTACAACTGATTTTGGGGAATCATTTCCTTGGGGGTGAAAATGAATTTTTTAGCATATTTTTTTATCTGCCAGCCTTTCAGAAGCTTTCTCACACCATGCCACCTAGCCCATGAATTGTCTCTGTTATAGAGTATATTTTTGAGATATAAATCATTTTGTGGAATCATTTTTTTGGGGGTGAAAATGAAGTTTTATTTATATTTTTTCATCTAGCACCCCTTTAGAGATTTTCTCAGTATATGCTATTTAGCTCATTAATTACTTTCAATACAGTAATCGGTAAGTGAAAACTCGAAGAAAGGTTGTGGGTTAACTCTTGTTCCTACCAATTATTTAATTAGGGTGGAAAATGATTCTTCCTATAGGGGTGCTTATTCTCGTGCATATATATATATATTTATTGTTGCGAGCTGTTAGCTGTATCCTTCACAATCACAGTCTGATCGAGGATGTCGACGCCACTGGTCATTCGGGTATCTTCGGCAAATTGTCCGCTAAATTTTGTCTGCCAACTTCACACCGGTCAAAAATCATCCGTTCTCGGAGTGTTTCGAAAAAGGTGATCGCGACATTTGTGCCAAAAGCGGGTCATATTGCAACAATTCCTCTTTATGAGCAAAGAACTGTTACCGCGGATTGGTATACCACCACTTGTTTACCGAAAGTCATCACCGAGCTTCGAAAAATCTACCCCGAAGGAAGAATCATCCTCCACCAAGGCAATGCAAGCTCGCACACAGCCCAAAAAACAAGGCAGTATTTAACGGAAGAAAACGTGGAATTATTTTACCATCCTCCATATAGTCCCGATCTAAGTCCTAACGATTTCTTTACTTTCCCGAAAATTAAAAACAGACTGCGTGGTCAAAGATTCCAGTTAAGAAGCAGTTGACGTATTCAAAAATGCCGTTTTATGTGTTAATCTTCGAAAAACAAGTCATTTAAAACTACCTACCGTGTTGTTTTATTTCCATATGCAAAACTTAAAAGACATCCCTCGTACCATCTAAGCCAAATCTAGGTCCATCTTCGTTTTCTCTATCAGGCATCCATTGTTTCCACCACCGAACAATATCCGCTTGGAGTCCATCTTTTAAATTTAGCCGCTTATAGCATTGTGGCATAAAAATGTGTACGAATCGCTGAACGAACAGACTTTGGACATAAATACCTACATCACGGGTGCATTTATCTGGAAAGGTGATTCATTATAAAAATGGCCCTTTGTTTCTCCTAGCCCTTCAACTGGCTTTAGATGATGCTATTGAAAAATAAACCATTTGCCTAGAAAATTAATGAAGAGAAGGGGGTTCTCCCTCAGCTATGGAAAACGCCTCATACATCTGGGTCATCTCCCATCTATAACCGAACTAAAACTTTTTGTGAATACTAAATTGTAACACAACGATACCGCAGAGTGTAGGTCGAGTTGATAATTGTCCCGCACCTCGGAAAATAGGGAAAATGGAGAATCGAAGAAAATTAAGTGTCCCCTGGGGAACTGGCTGGCTATGCGGCGTAGCTCCATGCCCATGCCGGCGGGATATTGCATAATCAGACACTATACGCGAGAACGGAGTCAACAGAAAACTCAAGCGGGAACATCACCTGCAAATCCCCATGGCGGAAAATTGGCAAATACCACCAACTTCATCGTTGTAGGAATAGTACATCCAACGAAAATGCCTCAACAGTCGAGCTTGTGCGTGAGCTGCAAAATAAAAAATTTTTCTATACGGCTCGGAATCAACGTCTAGTATAATTTTCCACTTCAGTTGGCCCAACTATTGAAATCTTAGCTTTTTTCTTATCAAACACAAATAATAAAAATGTAGCAGGCTGTTATAGGTTTAAAATATTAACAACGAATATTTTGATAATATATAGTAGAAAACACCAACATTATCACTCCCTAATCAAATTTGCAGCATAAAAATAACACATGTTGCAATTACAGCATATCAACCTATTTCATTTCGATGCAAAATAAGTCTATAACGCATATTTGGCTGTGAGCATTAAGAAGAATAATCGTGAAAAACAGGCGTGCCAATTATTTACAATTAAGTGCTCTGTGGAGTGACGCTGCTGGAAGGAGAATTTTGGGGTCCACAACTCATAGAGAGGCCCACAAACTGGGATTTAGCACTTGCAAGGTAAGTTTTCTTATAAAAAAAGTGAAGTAAAAACCCTAAAGTTGCACAACTTGTTTATAGGCCAAAGAAAAGCCACTATTAACTCCACTGCAAAGAAAAATCGGCTTAGATGGGCTAAAGAACATAGACAATGGACACCTCAACAATGGTGTGCAATACAATGGAGTGATGAGGCCCGATTCGAAGTTTGTGTTGGTGACAGTCCCAGTAGAGTTATTCGCAAAAAAATGAAGCATTCCATGTTGAGTGTCTGAACAGAAAAGTGAAATTTCCAGCATCCATTATGGTCTGGGGCAGTATATCATCAAAAGGAGTAGGAAAACTTCATTTTATTGATGGAAATGTGGATACAAACAAATATTTGGCAATTTTAGAAGAATCGCTTTTACCAGTGATGGAAGAATGTTTGACATCCGGCCAAGATTTTGTGTTTCAGCAAGATAGTGCAGCGTGCCATACCTCAAAAAAGGCTATAAAATGGATGGAAGAAAATAATGTACCACTTTTGAAATGGGTTTCTAGCAGTCCAGATCTTTCACCTATTGAAACTTTGTGGCACGAGATGAAAAGATTCTACGATAACATCCTGCTCGTACAATCACCGAACAGAGACAAAAGCTTCAAGAAATATGGGATTGTTTTACACCAAGTTTTTTGCCAAAACTTGGTTAACACTATGCCCAAAGAATTTCAGCCGTAATAAAAAATAAAGGTGATGTAACCCAATGGTAATCTTTCAATTGTTGCTTTGTTAACTTCGCGCATTTATTCGCACATTATTTATTTGTTCAGATGTTCTATTAGTTATATGTCTAAGTGATTTCAAATATGTATTTTTTACGAGTAGTGTATATCTAAAATGTTTTTGAAAAAATAAATTGTTTTAGAAGTAAATAGTTTCGTCATGTTTAGTTTATATATGCATATTTTGGTACAAATCTTGAAGTGGGCCAACTGAAGTGGGAAGGGGCTCGTAGTGCAATGGCATAAAAAATACATAGGCTTACTTAGGACTTTGAGTGCATTATTTGCAAAGAAAATCCTTAGTTTGCAGTAACTTCATTTATTTTTGAGCTCTGGTGTTTGCTGACAATGTTTGATAACTGATTATAATAGCTCTTCATACGTAATTATAATACAATATTACCTCACCAAATCAAGCAACTCCGTTAAATTAGTTTTCAAGCAAAATGCTGCTTTTAAAAGTCCCTTGGATCCTCTACATCCCCATGGCGCATGGTAAGTGCGACCGATAAGTACTCGAACCGTCTGCTGAGAAAATTTCTTTAAGAGCAAATGTACGGGGAAATATGTCTAGTAGGTACATGTCAAATAACGTCCAAAAACATCTCATTTTCAAAATTTTTCGCGATTACTATTCTTCTTCGTCAATTGACGTAGGAAGTGGAAACACTTCTTCAGGAATAACTAGATTTCGTGGGATGTGTGATTTATAATCTACCACTATACCTATTTAGAAAACACGAAGCTATATCTAATTCGAAAAACACTGATATATGTTAGAAAGATCAGAAGAATCATTGAAAAGCTCTCCTAGATTCCGACTTATACTGTGGTAAGCTCACTTTCACTTAGAGGCCTACCACCCAGTTTTATAACAGCTTTTCACCTGCAAGGATTGAAAATAAAAATCTGCGCAACAAATTGTATACACTGAATTTTCGTTAAAATGCCCGATTCTTTCATATTAACTTTTTATATCCAATAGGAGGTTTCAGGCATTCGTCCATAGAGCCCTGAAATAAGGGGTAAAACTCGCCCGATAATTCTGGACTTAAAGTATTGTTCAGATGATGCTGCTCCTTAGAGCTTTATCTTGTGATGGCGCTGTGAGTTAACAATATTTTTTTGTAATGTAATAATTTAGTTGTCTCAACCAACTATTAATGGTAGTTAAGGAAAAAAATATAAGTACCATACCAGGCGAAAAGGAGCAAATAGTAGTGATGTTTTAAAAAAAATTAAAAGTGTCAATACCTCGAAAATTAGAAAACTTTTACTAAGGTCATGTTGATTTTATCTGACTGATCTGCAGCATATCTACCTCCCGTGTCACTCTGGCGTGTTATTTCTGGGACATCCTGTATATTTCGTATAGGGAGACGTACTCTGCTGTCAAGCCATGTCAAACTCAAAGCCACTGGTGGGCCAAAAGGATCAAGGCCATAGACTAGGTGGGCCACGAAGCCTAATCTTAAAGAAAAAGTACTATAATAAGACCAGAACATTTACCTATTCAATTTTCCATTACAAAAAAAAGGCAGAAATAACTTTTAAAACTGCCTCCAAGTGTGAGTCTGTCAATCACGATCTTGCGGGAGATTTGTTTCATTTCATCAAAGAATTATAGGTACTTCCAAGTTCTCTTATTTCTTGGTATTGAAGCCGCAAGTACTTATAAAATTAGAATGTCCCAACATGCCACACCAGTATCGGTACCTTGACTACAAGCAATAGGAAATGCAATGAAAGGGTCGCTCGCAGGCCGCAGTATCTGACAGTTCAAAATCGATTCGGGCCGCCGAAATAAAGCGTACCCATATTCTAGCGAAATATCTAAAATTAAAAAGATTAAAAAGCTGAAATAAGATACTCAAAAAACTAGCAAGAGAGAACAAGAAAAAATTAAAATTTTTCGGCGAATTTTGACACAATGGTAGTATCTAGACTTTTAAAAAGCATTGCGAAGCTTTAAGATTCTAGTTTCCTGTTTTTTAGCCAAAAAAATGTAGGAGCAATGGTTCTCATTCAATTCTAACAGCGCGAGCATTTTTTTTCCAACTTTTGTCTTCTTCTACGGGTTGAACAATTTGTTTTCTGTTAGGTCTTCATATGGATCGAATAGCCCGTTTATTCAACTTTAATAAACTGTCTTTAAAACCTCGATACTCATTTGGCGTGGAGATATCTGACTTTGAAAGGATTCTGTTCGCATCGACCACTGATATCTCGATAACCAGTGATCGCACAAAGAATGTAAGGGCATTTCCGAAAACTGGAATAAACCGCCTATGAGATTTGATTGCGATCTTTGAGGATTTTTTTTGTTTTCCTGATATTGATTTTTAAATCGTAAAAAAATTACTTTTTGCCTTGTTTTGGGAAATTCACCGCATTTTTTTTATACTCCAACTACCACGAAGGCCTAAGGCCTAAGCACCCATTGGGTACCGTGGGGCTATAGGGGGATATATGGGAAAGGGGGGACGCCACACGGACGCTGGCGAGGGAACACGTGTGCATGCAACATGCACAAATTCTGGCTCCGCCTACGAGACCCGCCGGGTGGTACCTCCGCGTTCGACAGTCAAAGACCATCTACCACCTACGGACAATCACAACATCCATAGCCAAAAGAAAAATTTCTCCTGGGACGGGACTCGAACCCGCACAGCGCACGACGACTGATCAGGAGACCGACGAGTCTAATAAAGCGGCCACCGCTGCTGCCATTGCTGCTAATGAGAAGGATTTGGTTTTAGGTTTCTTTTATTCTTCAACGTATCCCTAATAGGCGGCGGCGACAGTAGATCGATTCATTGTACGGTTTCTTCAGACTGATTGGTCAACATTTTAAAAGAAATCAAAGGATCAAAATTTCAGTATCAAAACATTCTGTAATCTGGTTTTAAGATGGAAAACATTTTTGTTCTTTTGTTATCACTATTGGATATCTGTAACAGCTTCAATTTAAGAAAAACAATTGGAAACATTTATTCCCGAGGACTAAACAAAAGGCAAAAATGTTACAAAAAAATTTCTTGTGCTATCGGTTAGAATTGCATAGAAACCGTTGCTCTAAAAATTGTTTGGCTGAAAAAGCTGAAAACTGGAATCTTGAAACTGCTTTTTTTATAGTGTAGATACGACCATTTTTCACTGAAATACAGCCTGTCAAAAATCACCGATTTCGTGTCGTTTTATTTTAGAGCTCCTATGGGCACCATATTGCATTGTCGTATTAGACGTCCGCCATATTGGATTTAGAAAGACGCCACCTTACTTATTGCGATAAGGGTTACCATTTTGCAACGTCCGCCATATAAGATTAAAACGGCATTAAGGTAAACATGCTATATGAACCATTGTGTGTGAAAGTAAATACAAGTTTGTAGAAAGACAGGGATCTTTGAAACAAGCAAAAGATGAAGTAAGCACTATATTGATTCGTCCAATTTAGCATTTTCATGCACGGAATCACGCGAATTATCGTTGGAAAAAATGACTTGAAATTAGCTCCTGAGAAGACAGAAGTGGTTACTGTCTGACAAGACAGAAGCTAACTTCATTAGTTGTTAAAGTCGAGAATGCCTAGATTTGGGGTCAAAATGCAATTAAGTATCTGGATGTGTGGCTTGACAAAGATCTGAAAGTTATTGAATATACAAATATTATAAGACGCACCACTGACACGAACGTCACAGCTTGATTAGCGACAGGCAGTATGGTTTCCGACACCAACGATCCACAAGGGGCCTCCTAGCTTACTTCACGCAGTTGTGGAGTAAACTCATCCAGTCTTATGGCGAGGCTCATGTCGTTAGTCTTGACATCACGAAAGCGTACGATTACCTGTGGCACGCTGCCCTCTTAAGCAAATTTCCATCCTATGGCCTCCCAGAAAAGCTTTGCAGATGGGTGGCTGACTTTATCACTGACCGCAAGATATCCGTCGTAATTGACGGGTTCTCCTTTTCATCACACAACGTCAACGCGGGTGTTCCCCAGGGATCGGTCTTGGCTCCGACACTGTTCCTCTTACATATCAACGACCTCCTTTCCTGCACGATCAACCCAATCCACAGCTTCGCTGATGACAGCACTCTACATGCAGGAATTCAGAGTGACAAGCCGATCTCTGCTGCTGAGCTGGAAAAAAGAAGACTATCGACCACTTCCTCTCTGACAAGAGACCTGGAGGCTATCGCTGCTTGGGGACGCAATAATCTTGTACAGTTTAATGCTTCCAAAACACAGAACTGTACTTTGACGAACAAAAAGTGTCCTAGCGCTCATCCGGTTTCGATGGATGGCCGAGTTCTGCCAAAGAGCCATTCATTTCGGCTGGTCGGAGTCCAGATCACCGAGGACCTGATCTGACAGGAACACATCTCGTCAATAGCGGCAGATGCTGGGAAAAATCTAGGCTATTTGTTTAGGTTTCGGACTAAGCAGTACTTTTCTCCGCATGACCTTCTCACTCTATACAAGGCCCAGATAAGGCCTAGCCTCGAGTATTGCTCACATGTTTGAGGTGTTGCCTCCCCGACTACATTATTTATGCTCTATGCCAGAGTTGGGCGGTCTGATTGATCGATGACTCTTCTCTAACAGACAGTCGCGGGACTCTTTCGCACCAGCGGACCGTCGGCGATCTAGCTCTTTTCTACCGCTACACCAACGGGCTTTGCTCCTCAGAGCTCTATTCCATGAAGTCGCCGCGCGATGTGCCTTCCAGACAGACCCGGCTGACTTTGGCGTCCCATCCTAATCGTGTCGAATTTCGTACATCCAAAACTGGCCGATACGACCGCTTGCCATCTGACGGATGCCCCAGTAGTGAGAGGCGCAGGATTTAGGCAGGGGTGGCAAATTCGATTACGCTGTACGTAGTTTCTATAAATAACAAGGCCTCAAGGAAAAAGAAATACAGACAGCTGATACTGAAAAACCAGCGACAAGCAGTGCTGGAGGTGGTATACGTTTACAGAATGGTGTCCACCGATGCTCTGCTGATGATAGCTGGTATCCCGTCAATTGATTTGAGCTAGAAGCGACGAAAGACAGGCGATTTTTGTAAGATGGCAGGAGAGATGGGATGCAATGGCCATGGTGCATGGACCACAAGGTTGATTCCAGATATTAAAACTTATTGCACAGTTCCTCGCAGGACATGGTTGTTTTGACAGCTACTCGGGTAGGAAAGAGATATTGCGCGAACTGCGTATATGCAATGAGAGAGCCTACCTAATCACCTACGCATTGTGGTGGGTGCGTTAACTACCAGAGATAGTGGGAGTTGACGCTCGGCCGAAGACTCACTTCTGACAATTTTTCCACGCATATATGCGATGGAAAATGGGTTTATATTCAACCAACACTGACGCGAATGATGCTGAGTAAGGTACAGGAGAACGAAAATAGACAAAGGAACCACTAGTAGCTTCCTATCTGCTAGGTTGTATATGTGAAAAGGTACAAATGTATGTATCTGTACTATGGAGAATAGATGACGAATACCTTTGGAATGAAAACCTAACGCAACTCACTATGAAGAGATGTTACATGCATTACTGTGGTGAGATGTGTAGCGAACGACTGAGGGGTCTAAGTGACTATGCTGCTTCTAGTCTAGAGAATATCACACTTCGGGCAGAAAGGTACTATCGAGTTTTTCTGCCTGAAAATTGCTATAAAAGCTTTTCTCTGTAAAAAGGTAAACATGTCACATGAACCAAAGTAAACACAATTTTGAAAAGCTTGAAAAGTGACAAGGATATTCAGAGCAAGATAATGATTAAGTAAGCAAAGAGGTGGCCACTATATTGATTCGATTAATTTAGCTTTCTGCAACTGTACTTCTACAAAAATCGTGAAATCCTGCAATCCCGAACAGTCATGAAAGCCTCCATAACAATCCTCTAAAATCTTTTGTCTTGTTAGGCGTGTACTACATTCGCCCTCGTGTAATGCAGCAACGGGCGTCCTCAAGCTCCGTTGTGTGTTTTCATTTTTTTATTTCTACATCAGCTCTCGACAAGTCACCACGCCCTCCTAATTAGCCTTCAATGGCTTTTGTGCACCACTCTGTACCTTGCTTTCGAATTAAGACTCGGTGCTCTTGCTAGGATAGACTTTTTTTATTATGCGTTTTGCGTTATCATTCGTGCGGATCTACGACCGTTGTTACTTCTGCACAGAGATAATTACATACGTGTACAAGGGTTACCTGGGTAGCTTTTGTTTTTCAGGAAGAAAGGCTCTTGAGATTTATGTACGAATGTGTATAGTTTACATCAGCTATGAAGGGTCTGCTTCACAACAGATTTAATTTGGAGAAACATTTTGTACGGTCCAGTTGTTTCAACATACATAAAGGTAGGATTATCACAAACAATGCTGATATATTTTTGTAAATTCGTCTATTGACAGCAGATTAAATAGCAAAAGTAAAAAGCAAGTAAAACGAAAAAGAAACCGGTGAATTGTATAATTTGCAGCCATTAAATAGCATTAAATTTTAACAACGAAATAAAGCATCGGGGTCCATAAGCGGATCATCGGTCCTGAAAGTAGCTCAAATTTCAAGTTGACCAAATTTATAGGATTTTTGCGCTCATTATTGTATATTGAAAAGTTTGATCAGCATTTTATTTTTATTTTACTACTTGATTGTCCTTTTAAAGGTCCAAAGTTCGGAATTTTTGCATAGACTTCAGTAGTTAACTTCTAGTATGTTTATATGAGCACACGTTCGCAGCACTTTCTACTCCAAATACATATAATAAAGCACATAAATATACAGAACATATGCAGAATAAAGGTGCTGCTTCAATACGCTCACAATGTTATCAAAAGACAATAAACAAGGCTTTAGATAAGTTAAACCTTCATCTTCGGTCTCATAAGCTCATATCTTTCCATAAGAACGCAATATGTTTATTTCAATGCTTCTTGTTCAGCAAATTATACAGGGTGTCTGCGAAAGGTTGATAGGTCTCGAAACTGGAGATACTACAGACCAAAATATGTGAATTGACATACCATACATAGTCCAAAAGTTGATAGTTTGCGATATACAGGGTGTCAAAGATACAATTTTATTTTCTATTTTTCCTTATTGCTTGAGAACTATTTCAGATTTTGGCATAAAGCTCGGTATAGGAAGGTTTTCTAGTATGAGAATCATACATATTTTTTATGGCCAAACTTCTAGAGGGCGCCACTTAGAGCACTATTTCGATAAATAACTTGTCATAACTTTTTGTGCTACCTCTACAACTGACCGAAAAATATTATTTTCTCGTATTTCCATAACAAAAAAGGTTTACTTGTTAGAAGTGTCTGAAGCTAATAGTTTCCGAGATATTTAATTTTTAAAAGTTCCAATGCATTATTGGTACCATGATGATAAAACATTTTTATAACATAATAATCAAGTTGCTTTGGATTATATCTGAGTAGCATTGCTATGGTTTTTAACAATAACAAATGAGGATGGCAACAAAACTAATAAACGGAAATTATAACTACAAAAATTGTTCAAAATCAGCACCGTTTTCCCTAACTAACTCTCCAAAGCATTTGGATGTTATTTTCCATTGCCTGGCTATGGTGAAAAGTTCTTTGTCGAAGATCATCTACACTATCTACAGTTTCCACTGGCGTATTGTAAACGCGTCGTTTTAAATCACCCCAGAAGAAGAAATCCATAGGATTTAAATCTGGTGATCTAGCTGGCCACGATACAGGTCCTGATCGGCCTATCCACTGGTCTGGATAAACTCTATTTAGATGCTCTCTAACTAATAAACTAAAATGAGGTGGAGCGCCGTCGTGCATAAACCACATAAGATTTCATGCGTGTTTGTAATGGAAGATCTTCCAGCGGAGTGGGTAATTGTTCTTCAAGAAATTGTAAATACCTTTGGCCATTTAGTCTAGGTGGTTACTCAACGGGTCCTTTTAAATATTGTCCAATTATTCCTGCCAATAAATTAACCGGATCTAGCCAATGCTGTTTTTATTTTTCATAAATAACCTTGCCGCTTCACTAAGGTGTCACAACTACTATTTGTCAGTGATCTGAAAAGCTACGCAAAAATTACAAAAGTTTTTCCCTTCACAGGGATCTATGTTAGATACTATCATACAGTGGTGTGGCTATAACCTTTTTTTCTTAAGCATTTCCAGGTATGAAGTTTGGTCATATAGTCATATTGATTATTCCATAAATAATGCGGGTCTGGAGAGCAACACCGACTGAAGATCAAAGATCTTGGTATAGTATTTTCTTGCTGGTTGGGCATTTCTGTCCATGTTACACGCGTCAGTTCCGAATTGACATGGATTCTAGGATGTACAATGTGTAACTGCTGACCTTTTTCCAACGAAGCAGTACTAAAACTATTTTTATTTCGTTGGTTCGACCAAAACTTGAGCACGCTTCTTTGATATGCAACCCATTCTATGCATATAAGTATCCTAGATAAAGCACAAAGAAAATTGATGGCGTATATCCAGAAACGGGGATTAGTTAATTTATCCTGATGCAAGGTTTCAACCTAGAGTCTCTACAATTGAGACGTTCGTTTTAAAAAGGTGTAAGAATCATAGAAGCTTCCGTAATTTTTGTAAGTTCTCATAATAAACACAAGCAGCGGCAACACTGCGGTGAGCGATCTGTTCGAGAACGATCTCGATTACTTTGAACGGAATAAATACACAAGGCGCAGCGAAAGTAAGCTGTGTTTAAAACTGAACGGCACAATTTTTCAAACAACGTTATGAATCAATTCAGGAACTGGAAAATTCTATCTAGCTTAGAGATTTTGGTTTTCTTGTGGATATTACAGAAGAATTAAATGAACTTAATTTGCAGCTTCAGGGGAGAGACAAAGAACTAGCAGAAATGATTTCTGATATAGAAGCATTTATCAAAAAGCTTGAGTTTTGGGAAGAAACTTAATCGATGGCGATACCACGCATTTTCCTGTGGTTTCAGAAAATATATCTCAAAGTCCATTAGAACTATATGACAGTAAATATCATATAGAAATAGTCTCTAACTTGAAGGATAACTTTAAAACTCGTTTCAAGGATTTCAAGGAAATTGCTATAGTGGCGCAATAATTTCTTGTTTCATCCTTCATGGAAATTGACATCCAACAGTTTGCAATTCCTGTTACGCAGAATTTTAGCGAAGACATCGCTGCGACAGAAATGGAAGTGATTACGTTTCAAAATGATTTAGCTTTAACATCATTAGTCTCAAATACAAAATGTATCTGGCGTTCAGTAAGTAAAGATAAATATCCAGTTTTATGTCGTGTTGCCTTGAAAGTGAAAGCGTTATTTAGTTCAACCTATTTGTGCGAATCTTCTTTTTCAAATATGAAGTTTATTAAAAACAAATACCATTTATCAAATTAGCCGCTAGGGTCCATTCTCTGATACTGCTTATACATACATATATATTTTTTTACTTCATTTATATATATGCTTATCTTATTATGATGTAAACCTAAAACCTGGGGTTAAGTGGCTATATGTTCATATAAAACTAGTTTTGCAACTTGTTTTGTATTTCCTTTTGTGGGAATAAAGACATTATTATTATTATTATTATAATGGACTTACAGATGGACATTTGGATAATTGTATTAGAATGGCATCATTGAACACGCATTTTTTATCTGGACATGTTTTTGCTTAGAACAGTGCGTTGCATTTTTTATTTTTAGTTGACGAAAAATTTCGTTTATTTTTCAAAATCCTACGATTGGTAGGAATGGATGTAGTTATGTAGTATGTAGGTATTAGTTATTACTTTATTTGAG